AGCCCTCCCGAAGGCGGGGGGGCCCGGGGAGGTGCAGCCGCAGCGCGTGGCCCTGCGGAATGATGGAGCACGGATGAAGGACGAGGAACCACAAGTCGCAGCGAGGACCTGGGGGGGTTACCAGCCTGGTGACCCCATCGCTCCATGCCCAGACCCACCTCTGCACCACTTGCCGCGGGTTTTGCTTCCCCAAAGCTGGCAGCACCCCAAAAGGGGCTTTTTTTTCCTCCCATCGACGCTTCTCACTCTCACGAGGGCAGAGCCGTGTTGAGCTCTCCGTCCCCTGCCCCAGCCCGGGTCATCCCGATGGATCCCAGATTCACCACCAGATCTGGCATCCCCTGGGTGGGAAATGCTCCCTCCATCCTCATCCCACCTCCTTGTGCCAACCCCGGCCGCTTCGGCTCAATTCAGCCGCGATCTCTCCGAGGAGGGTTTGATGCTCCACGCCAACAGCGTGTTCATCTCCCCGGGGAATTGTCGTTGCTGTTGTTGTTCCTCTGGCTTATCAGGCTGACCAAGGTTTGCCTTAAAAAAATATGTTTGTTTGTTTTCGCCTTCGGGAGCAACAATCGCAAGATCTCCAGCGGGGAAGACGGCCTCGCCGAAACGCGGCCGGCCGGGCTTCCTCCAGCGCCGCGAGACAGAGCAAACTTTATTTGCCATCCCAGGCTTCTCCTAAAGCCTCTCGGGGGACTTATAATTTTGAAAGTGAAGGTTAAGGTTATTCATGCATATTTTTTCCCTAAATGGATTACTCCGGTGTGACCGGCTGCAAAGGAAAAATCTATATAAAAATAAAAGAAAAAAAAATAAAAACTCCCGAGCAGTTTGGAGACAGCAATACATCTCTGCACTGGAAGACTCGAGGTGTCTGAATATTTATACTCCCGTTGGCAGTTACAAAAAAACTCTTCTTCCCTCCTTCCTACCCCCCCCTCCCCTTTTTAATCTCGGTACAGGCATGTTAGACGCCCTCAGTCAAAGATCTCCTTTGAACTGCTGTATGTTGAAATGTTTACAGTTTTACATTTCATATTTCAGAGGGGTGGAGGGGACAGGCACAACAGTCGCACACTGTGAATGCATGAGAGGGAGGAAAGCGGAGGCCAAGGGGGAGGAGGTTCGGCGGAGATGGGAGGGGAATCAAACAGCATCTCCACGCCGCAATTGGAAAATTTTGGACTCCTAAAAAAAAAATATAAAAAAATAAAAAATTAATCCCTGGTGGCGTAGGCTCTGCAGGTGCATCCCCACCGAACCCAGCCCCTCGCGCGGGATGGTGGCTCCGTCCCCGGGCGGCCGCGCAGCACCGGCCAACAGGGCTGGTTTT